AAAACCTTAGGCTAATCCATCTAATTCCATCTACAGAGACTGCAAAAGAACCGGGAGGCAATCCTTGGTACACCATATTGTATTGGCACTGCACCAAGCCAGCCATGGAGACCAGGCACGGTGACATACACCTGTAATCCCAGACTGGGGAGGATGAGACAAGGAGGATCATTATGAGTTTGAGCTACATAGTGAGACCCTGTACCAAATACATAAAATTAATGAAATAATGAAGAGCAGAAAATAATGAAAGAAAAAGCAAACCCTCCTATTCCATTCTTTTACCATTTAATTACTTTCTCCTCTAATTCTACCATTCAGTAAACTAAGTTCAATATATTTTAAAATACTACCTAAGTAGTATTTTAAAGAGTGACACACCAGCACTCTGGGAGTCCAAGACAGGAGGACCCTAAGTTTAAGCCTAGCCTGTACAATTTAGCAACTTAGTGAGACCCAAAATTTTTAATCTAAAATTCTAAATTATAATGGAATTGTATCTGAATTCCAAATTACAATAGTTTTATAACCCTGACACCAAAACTAGATGAGAATAAAATATTTATAGGCTTATTTCATGTAGGAATGCAGATTAAAATATTAGCCATCTAAATACAGTCAATATCTTAAGACACACTGTAATCCAGTAGGCCCATTCCAAAAATATAAGGATGGTTTAACAATGAAAAATTATTTATTGAAATATATCATTACAAGACCAAGTGATTAAGCACATTCCTGAAAAGTCACTTGCTCAAATTCAACAACTATTAACCACAATAAACAAAAACCTAATTATAAAATGGAATGTCTTTAATGTGACTGGCCTTGGTTTCATAATGTGGAGACAGAAAGGTCAAGATTAGACAGCATAGTTTTCAAATAGAACAATACACATCCTACCAGATATATCAGATCCTATGTATATCACGGTGCATATTTGGTGAGTGAATATAAAGCAGAATACCTTACAGCAATTCCACACAAATATGGAAACTTGCTATTTGACAGAGGTAATATATTAACTCCCTCCCATTCATCACAGGTGGAAATATTTACTGCTTTAGATTAAGCATGACAACTGTTAGCAAAATTGAATGCATGTAAATCCATGACCCAACAAATATAGTCCTAGATATATCTCATAAACAGACTCTCACTTAGGTCTAGAAGAAATATGCAAGAAGGTTCTTTGTAACATAACAGTGAAATATCAAATTCAAATTAATTGCTCAACAAAATAAGGGATCAATATATTGTATATTTACCTAGACTAGAATGCAACTTATCATTATAAGGAATAAGCCCTCAATGTCAAAACATATTGGAAAAATAAAACTGAAGATTGATACATCATGATCCCAATCACATAAACATTTAAAGCATAAATACAATATTATATGTCATCCATGAATTTACATATATAACAAACCATGCAATCTTGCATGGAAATAACAGTGTCAAATTTAGAGAATAATACCTTGTTGGAAGACAAGAAAATGGGTTAGGGAATGATTTTTAAAAGGGAGACCTCTACTTGTATCTATATTGACCCAATGTCTTTTTTTTCCTTTTCAAACCTTATTCTTTTTATTTCTTTCTCTTGTTGAACATTTTTTCATATATTTATTTGCTGTTTGTGCTTTATCTGAGAAGTACAAACATATACACATTTTTGTATTGAGTCATTAAATTTGGTGGACCAGTTTACTTTAGTTCTTTATATATTCTTGATAGTAATCCTTTGTCTGAAGAACAGCTGGCAAAAATTTCCCTGCCACACCGTGGGTTGTCTCTTTACTCTGTTGGAGGTTTCTCTTGCTGTGCAAAAGCTACTTAATGAGATCCAGTTATTGATTGTTTGTGATAATTCCTGTATGATTGGGGTTTCATTTGTGAGGTTTTTCCCTATATCATAGACTTGAAGAGTTTTTACCTATTTTCTCTTCCAGCAGATTTTTGCTAGTACCATGTTGTTTTTAATCACAATAGCTTTATAGTATACTTTCAAGTCTGGAATTGTCATGCCCCTTTCTTTGCCTTTGTTGTTCAGAATTGCCTTTACTATTCTAGGTTTCTTCTTGTTTCAAGTGAATTTTGGGATTATTTTATCTAATTCTGTGAGATATGCTGTTGGAATTTTGATCAAAATTCCATTAAATTTGTATAACAGTTTTGAAAACATAAACTCTTTTTACTATATTGGTTCTTCCTACCTAAAGGCAAAGGGTATCTTTTTATTTTCTTTTTTTTTAACTCTAATTTCTCTTCAAATTGTATAAATCTTTCACCTTTTACCAATGTCTTTTTTTGTCTTTTGTTAAAGATGGCAAGATGTAGGGGCCATGAAGATGGCTCAGTAGTATAAGCGCTTCCCTGGCAAGAGCAAAGGCCTGAGTTCAATCCCTGGTTCCACCAAAAAAAAAAAAAAAAAGGAAAGATGGCAAGATGTGTTAGTGGGTATACAGGTGTACAGGTGTAGTATTCTTCCCTGTATTTTCTCTATTTGCTTAAAATATATTGTAATTTTAATAGGTTCTATTTTTTTTCACTAAAATCAAACTTACGATCTCATACTTGCCAAGCAGGTGATATGCTGCTGTGCTATATCCCTGGCCCTATATTATAATTTTAAAAGGAAATTAATGCTGAATGACCAGTGTGTCAAACATTAAATTGAAGTGAAATTTTAAAGTATCATTTTACATATGACAATGATAACACAATATACAAATATGTATGGAATGTAGTCCTGCAGAGGTATAGCAATAAATGTCTCTATTTTTTAATTTTTTTTTATTTTAAAGAGTAAAAACAAAAACAAACATCAAAATCAAAGACAGAGTAACATACAACAATACATATGGTACAGAATTTTAAAACAAGAATAAAAAATTAACAATGGTTTGTATATTGTATATTTTTATCATCAGATCTGTTGCTCAGATTAACAGATATAGGTATGTAAGATTGGTTATATAAGCATTAATGCTTGCTTTGAGTAAACCTTAATTTTTTCTTGTCCTTTTTACTTTTTATTTCTAATTTATTTTAAGGGAAGTATAACAATAATTGATAAGACACTAGAAATAGTACACATTTAGAAGGGTACTCAACCATGGTTTTCATATTGCATATTGATGTCTGAGATGTAATTGCTCAGATTGCAGATATTAACATATACAGTTAGTCAAAGTGAAAATTTTATTTTATTTATTTTATTTTACTGAGAAACAAATAGCAATGAGACAGTTTCAAAACTGATTAATAGGATAATTTCAATAATTAATACATTGTACATTGTTTTCAGCCTCCCGAGTGCTGGTATCATAGGCGCATACCACCACGCCCAGTCTCAGTTACTGTCTCAGTGTCCCTCAGGGGCAGGGCTGACACAGCACCCCAGGGATTGAACCTGGGTCCTGAGCCTGCCTACGCAGGTACTTTAGTCAGCTGAGCTATCTGGCCAGCCCTAAGGATATAAAAAAAATTTGAGTGTACAAAATAAGAAGTCCTAGAAATCTACTTTATAAAGTAATACCTATAGTTAACAATACTATATTGTACATTTAAAATTTGCTTAAAGGGCATATTCTATGTTCTTAACACACAAAAGATAAGAGGGTGGAGAGAATGTCTGGAAATGATAGCTATGCTTATGGTATAGATTATCATGATAGTTTCACAAGGAATTACTTATTTCCAAATTCAGCAAGTTGCATACATTAAATATGTACTGCTTTTTGTCTCAATCATACCTCGTTAGAGTGAAATTCTTTAAGAAAACCAATTTGAGAGGGCCAGACAGACAGCTCAGCAGACTAAAGTACTTACTTAGGCAGAGCCTAGTGGCTGGGGTTCAATCCCCAGCATGACATGCCAGCCCCACCCCCAAGCCCTCTGAGATAGTGACTGAGATGGCATGGTGGCGCACACCTGTAATCCTAGCTTTTGGGAGGCTGAAGACAGGTGGATCATAACGAGTCCGATCTGTGTAGTAAGACCCTGAAGATCCTGTACCAAATACATAAAAAAGAAACCAATTTGAATTTTGCTTGTAGTATGATAAAATTTAAGCAATTAAAATTAAAAATGAGTCCTTCACACACACTGTCCCCTATTCTGCCTCCCCAGAGATAACCATAGTTATAAATTTCTTATGTATGGTTCCAAGCTACTATATATGTAGATAAAAATAAATTTTACAAACTTTTTTAAGAGTTTAATCCATAAAAACTGTATCTCAAAATGTTTTTTCTCTCAGCTTGACTTAAACATACTATATTTTTCTATTTATGTCCCAATATGTACTGCATAGTCTTCAGACTTGAAGTCAGACATAATTCAATAAATCCCAATCACAGGGATGAGACTTCAAATGAGCCATAATAAAGATTGCAGAGAGCCATCATCTATTAGACTTTTCATAAAAAATGAAAAAGAGAAGAATAAGATCTCCATGTAGTTAATTTTCAAAATTAAATTTGGAAACTGGGAATATAGCTCAGCAGCACAAGTGCCTGCACAAGGTTCTGAGTTCAACTCCTTCCTCCACCAATAAAATTAAAGTTGGCTCCAATTAATCAAAAACCATCAAGTGAGTCCATGTTATGATATATCATATAATGGTGTCAGAAACATGTAGGTAACTAGTTTGTTCACATTATTTGAAAACTAAAATAAATTGATTATTGTTAAAGGTATACTTGTAATGGTTACCATCAGCCTAAACATTCAGCCATATCCAAAATTCTATAGGTGCTGCCAGTTCCTCTGTGTTACCAGCTTTGCTGAAATGTCACTGATAATACAGTTTCGTTCAAACAAAATTGTCAAAAATGAATATGCTGTCAGAGAGTATAGTTCATGTTAGCCTATTCCTTTTTAACCCAGGATATTTGATATTCCATATGAATAGAGAAGATTCCTCGTACACTTTTTCTTTCTTAAACCCTCATTTGCTATCAATTCATTTTAAGAAAGCTTCCTTTGTCTTTTAGGCCCTTCTAACATACAGGAGTGACCCAGCCATGAAAAAATTGTTGAATCATCTGTATTTCTATATCATGCCCGTGTTTAACGTTGATGGATACCATTTTAGCTGGACACACGTAAGTGCCTTTGCCTATCCAGTTAAAAAGAGGGCTAAATCAGTAGCTCATAGGTCAGGAGGGGGCTTGCTGGGTGCCCACTGAGTGATTCCAGAGGTGCAAAAGAGGACCTCATTCCTCCTTAATTAGAACACTAATTTTTATGACATTTTCATATTTTGTCTTTGCATAAGATGGTGTATTAATAATGATTGCTCCTTCCAAATAAATCATAAAAACATGACAGGTCTGTAACCCATTTACCTTTGCATGTGAAGAGAGCAAGAAAGGGTAGGAGACAGGAAGTTCACTGCAGAAGCTGGAGCATACACCTGAGTTTCCAATGCTAATCTAGTTGTCTTTCTACTCCCTGGGCTTCTCTCTTCATGCAGGAACTCTCCTCAGCAAGATGGCCCCTGCAGTGACTGAGCTACTAAAATGCACATGAATAAACTTTTAAGTACTATTTCTCCCTGCCTGTTTTCTTAATTATGTATAGGATCGGTTTTGGAGAAAAACAAGGTCAAGGAACTCAAAGTTTCATTGCCGTGGAGTTGATGCTAATCGTAATTGGAAAGTCAAATGGTGTGGTAAGTTTGAGACTAATTAGGATTCAGAACAAAAATTTCCCACAAGGCTTAGTCTGCAAAATCATGAGCCTTGTAGGACTCAACTGGAAGACTCATGTTTTTATGTATGTGAAAACCTAATAAAGACATAGCTATAATTTCCAAAATAAAATGAAAAGATTCTTTTTTAATATGTAGAAATCCAATATGTAAATCTGTCAGCCCAAACCTAAAAATTGAAAATTTAAACACAGATGTAAAAGCAGAAAACTGTGGAATATTTGTCACTCATAAAACTAAAACAGAAACCATGGCTTGTGGTATAAATCTGGTTGTTTTATCCTTTTTATAAGAATAACACTGATCCTGATTTCATCTGTCTATGGTGATCAAAGCTGTCATGTTCTTATCTAGAACCTAACAATCTGCTAATCATAGGTTTATGGGCCACTCACTCCAAAAAAAGAGCTTCTACCTCAATCTACATTTCACTGAATGAAAGTTACTCTCTGTGGGAAGAGGTCATTTTAAGGGAAAAAAAAACTCTTTTATGAGATTTTAAAAATACACATTTACATGGAGAATAGAAGGATGAAAAAGCTAACATGGTTAATATCATAGTTATGACCAAAAAATGGAGAAAAAAAATCTTATAAAAATACAGTTGGAAGAAGTGGTGCTTTTGCAGTTTATCTCTAGATTCCTTGTCACAGGAAGTATCCCTCTAATTCCTTAAAATTAAAGATTATTACATTTCACTCATTCTACCATGTTTTCTGTTGTATCAGATGCCACTACCTCCGTTTCCACCAGAGTCAGATAGAATAACTGAGCTGGGACTTAGATTCTTTCTACATCTCCTTCTAGACAACTTCTTGCAATCACATAGAAGTAATGAATAAAAACAAGGCATATCTCAATAAATATCACTCCAAATTATAACAGGCCTGTTTCTACTTTGCCATCACCAGCTCAATGGTTTATACAGTGTTCTTTTATCCATGAAATGATAATAATCTCCACCCTGTGGGATTTATACAAGAAAGGAATGTACGTATGTGAAGTGCTCAATTCACTTCCTAGCTTGTGCAGTGGTCTAAATACCAAAGACCTTCTTTTCCTACTTCCTGAACACAGTCACCTCTGAAATTTAAAAGTATTGGTAAAACAGACTTTTTTCTTTCTTGGAAATATTGTGATGGTAAGCAAGCATGTAATTCTAAAAGTACTTGCATTTATGTAGGAACAAAAAATCATTCCATACATATTAAATGATATTGTAAGTGATTTTTGAATTTAGAAATTGTTTTCTCCAAACTAGACCAAGACAACAAACATGTTCTATTAATTCTGTCTGTTTCCCCCACCAACATATCAGGATACGTTGAAACCTAATCCCCAAAGCAGTAGTTTTAAGAGTGGGGCCCTTTAGAATATGATTACACCATGACAATGGAGCCCACATGAATGGAATTAGTGCCCTTATGAAAAAGTCAAAGGAATATCTTTGTCTCTTCTGCCATGAGCACACTGGTTGAAGGCTCATCAGATACCGAATCTTCTGACAATTTGATCTTAGTTGAACTTCCCAGTCTCCACGACTGTAACCAATAAATTTCTGCTGTTCATAAAGTACCCACTCTGGAGTATTTGGCTATAGTATGCAGAAAGGACTAAGATACTCTATTAATCTATGAAATTTTAAAATCTCCTTTTACCTTTTCACTAAAGGGGTTGTATGCATGCCCATAACCACATGGATGTTTCACAAGTTAGAAAAAAGCCATGTGTCCATATGCCTGGCAGTAATTTTGGTTGTGTCCACTGAATGGGTAACTGAGCTGAGTAATATGAGCAGGCCAGCCAGCTTGACCTGTGTAAAGGTACACTCTAGTTTATATCCAGTTACAAATGAGTGCCTTGTCTCTTTGTTCTTCTCCCTTTATCTAGTATGTTTTCTTTATGTATATACCTTCTTTCATTTCTCAGCTTCAACTAGTAGCAGTTCTTACTAGAATTACATTGATTCTTCCCACTTCTCACCATTCTGATCTTGCCTATGTTTGAATTCTCAAAGTGTGCATCAGGTTATGTCAAACTTTAGTTGTGAAATGTCTTGATACACTATTATAAGTAATGTGTAAATGTAGGCACATTGACTAGAACTGTGGATTCAGTGATTCAATCTCCAAGGTGGATTCAGCTAATCAGAAGTGCCAGAAATATAGCTGGCCTCCCTTCTAGATGCAGATCCACCCTCCTACAGCTATGTGCTTGGTCAATGAGAAGAGGACCACACTCAGGGAAACACTCTCAAATCAGAAGTACTAATATGAAAAATCCCCTATATGCACCTCCAAATAAAGTCACTGTATAAATGTCCAGAATCCATAAAAACACTATAGCATCAGTATTCAGGGGCCAAAATAATTGTTTCTCTTAAGTCATTGAGTCTTAAATTTAGCAGAACATAAGATTGCTTCTTACCATAAGAAACCTGCAGGCTCTCATCTGGCCATGCTTAGTTCAGTAGTGTGGTGGAGACAGAAAGCTTAATGTATACACATGGAAACAGGTATCCCTTTCCAGCACGTAGTGCCCTGGCAGACCTCCAAGCCATGAAATGAACACCACTGGTCAACATTCAGCACAAGTCAGAGTAGTGATGTGAACCAGGAGTAAATATATATATTTTATTCATTCATTTGCCCTAGTTAATTGAGCACATTACTCTCTGCTAGACACTATTTTTTCCTTCTTCTTTACTCTTATTTTAGAGTTTGCTGCATGTATTAGCATTTCTAAATTGGAACAAATCCAGTAGAGAGACAAAGCTTTAACCCTTGAAAAACCAAGTGTTGCCTAAACATAAATTGCTATGTAGGAAAACCCACAGAATGGGAAAACAGGCTTGTAAATCATATTTCTGGTGAGGAACTTGTCAGCTATCATATAAAATAGCTCACCAATTAAGAGACACCTCCATTTTATTTATTTTTCTATTTATTTATTTATTACTTTTAATTTTTTAATTTTTATTAAAATTTTATAGAGAAAAGAAATGAGATAGTTTCAAAACTGATTAATAGGACAGTTTCAATAATTAATACATTGCATATTGTTGTCTTCACAGTGGTTATTCATAATACAAGATGCAGACATGATATCCCATCCACAAATGCTATTAGTACAAATCTTTCTTCTCATTGAATTGAGAAAGTAGTTGTATATCTATCCTATTTTGTATATACAGATACAAAATGGTCCTTCATTTGTATCCTCTTTTTTGTTTAGTTTTGTCAGAGATGGGTATTCCATTGCCATTTAAATATTGTAGGTGCATGAATTCAGCAAAATAATCCAATATAGTCCAGTAGTCCATAATAGTAGTGGGTTATCCATAGGACTGGGAATGTCAGAAGTTGTTGACTTGAATCTTTTATAGCTCAGTATATTAGTATGGCTTTACGTTTTTATATCCCATTTTTATACTTTCTGCTGGATTGTTAAGACCAAGATAAAGCAAGATATATAACAAAAAATGTAACTTTTGTATCTCACAAGGTCAGTCAAATTCCCTCAGGATTTACCCTGAAACCTGTACCGCAGTTTGTAGATCCTTTGTCAATGTTAGCCATGTGGATGAGTCACGGCCATTGCTTGATCAATTTGCTCTCTGTGAAAGACTGAGAGAATGTCTTCTTTCCACGTGACTGTCCTTAGACACACCCTACATCATCAATCACTTTCCTCTATGGCACCATAATCTCCTTGATCAGAAAATTTGGGACACAACTGAGTTACATGATGTTACAGTACAGGTTCTCCTATGTCCTGAGTCCTCACTGACCTTGAAAGGCTAGGGCCAAACTGTTGGCTGTCCTTACAGCCCATCTTTTTCTGTAATGTATGGTGTGCAAACTTAAGGCTTTAATCACCAAAAGAGAAGCTTAATGATATTATTACCCTATAACATAGGCCGTTGAGCTTAACCTCACTGATGTCTGAACATCAAACATCTTAGACATAACATGGAACAGGTATTTTCCATCAAGTATTAATATGTTAAACTTTAAATCCCTACAGAATATGAGGAAAAACTATATAAATAAATAAATATTTTTAAAAATAGGAATAAACAATTACATATTTTTACACAGAAATTTAGAAATCTAACCATAAACAGCATTGTAGCAGGAGAGTCCTATGACATTTTTTTCCTTGTCTCTTGTTTTCATTTCTTACCCTTTTTTTTTAAACAAACATTTACTTGAGAGACAGTACAGCAGTAATTGATATGACATGACAAGCAGTACATATTTAGAAGCCTAGAATGACAAACATTCCAAGCATAACCCTACTATTATGCATTGCTATCTTGAATGCAGTTGCTTAGTTCACAGATATCATCATACATAGTTAGTCATGGTGAGAATCCTACCATTTACTTGGTAGTTTCAAGAACCTGCTGAAGATTCTCAAGATCATTACATTAACTATCTTGTGTATAGAAATGTTTGGCTTTGCCCCTGTCATGTCTCCCAGCTTTTCTCCTTGCCCTTTCTTCATGGTTTAATCCTTAAGTTATCACTTTCCTTTTAATTGTGTTATATCTTTCTATTTTATTTCTCCTTCTGAGTTCTTATACTAAGGAGACTATATGATATTTACACATGTGGGTCTGGTTTATTTCATTTATGAGTATATCTTCAAGTGGCATCCACTTAAATATAAAGCCTTTGAGTTAATCTTTATAGCTGAGTAATACTCCATTGTATAAAAATACCACATATTTTCATCCACTCCTCAGGTGACGGGCATCTTGGTTGTTTCGAGGATTTGGCTATCACAAATTGTGCTTTTATAAACATAGGTGCACATATATCACTTTGATATGAAGTTTTCAGTTTCTCTGGGAAAATTCCACTAAGGGGATAGCTGATTTGAATGGGATTTCCAGTCCAAGTTTTTTAAGGAGTCTCAACACCGATTTCCATAATGGTTGCAACAGTCTACAATCC